CAGGAACAGGGACAGCATAGAATTAGAAGAAAGAAACTAAAATCTGCCAACCTTCAATTCTGTGCATAGCAAAAATATCCCTCAAAGTTAAAGGGAAAATAAAGACAGTTTTAGATAACCACAGTCTGTACAAATTTGGAACAACAGAATACAGGACTAGAGCTATTCAACGGAGGTCTTCAGGATTAATCAAAGCTATCCCAGACAGACACCACACTGTGGGGAGAAACAGTGCACTATAAAGAGTAAACCATGTACAAATGTAAATGAGTCTTGGTTTTCTTAAATAAATAAACATCAGATCTTGTGGTAGACTATAAAATGAAATCGAATGTGTGATTAACACAGCTGAATGGTTGGATTTACGGAAATTAACTGGGTTAAGATTTTGTTTTTAAAATAGGTAAAAGTAATAATAAACATTGTAAGTCATAATATGCATAATTATCATTAAAAATGATAAAATTATATTAGTAAAAAATAATACAGGGACTGGGAGATGGCTCAGCGGGTCAGAGTGCTTGCTCTCCAAAGACAAGGAACTGAATTCAATTCCTAGCACTCACTTCAACAGCCAGGGTGCTGGGATTGGGAGAACTCATCCTTGTAACTCCAGTGCTGTGAGGTGGAGCCAGGCAGATCCCCTGACTTTCTTGGCCAGGCACTGTAGCAGAAATTGCAAGTCCCAGGTTCAATGAATCACCTTCTCTACAGGGAATAAGGTGACAGAGTAACTCACACATTTTTCTTATCTTGTCTCTGTGCATGTCTAAGCATGCTCCCTTAACTCATGTGTGCTGTACCCACACACTACACACATTCACATCCACACAAATAATATAGAGGGAAAATACTATAAAATATTTGATTCCAAAAGAAGCAAAAAAATCAATAAAGAACAGAGAGGAAACAATGCTCAACTTAGTAGACTCCAACCCCATTGTTAGGGACATGTTTGTTTCCTTCCAAACTCACCTGTTGAAACTCAAACTGCCAAGGAAGTGGAGGCTTTGGATGGCAATGAGGTCTAGATAATGTCATAAATGTGGAGGACTCATGATTAGTTTTCTTGTAGGAAGAGAAAGAAACTAAAGTTTTCTCTCATGTGCCAGTGGAGATACTGTGAGAATGCGGCCATCTATAAACCGGAAGCCTGCCCTCACCATACACACAGCACCTGCCCCATCCTTCCTTACATCACATGCCCAAGCCCCTAGAACCATGAGAAATAAGCATATGGGGTCTAGCCTACATAGTCTAAAGGATTTCTGTTGCAGAATCCTGAAATGGCTAAGAAAGCCATTAATCAATAATCCTATTAAACATAAATGAGTTAAAAAATCTATCTACAGGATGAACTTTATTTAAAAGAAGACCAGGAGCCTGTAAGATGTCTCAATGGGTTAAGGCATTTGCTGCTAATCTTGAATGCAGTTCCTCATGCTTGCATAGCAAGTACTCTTACCCAGTCCCCAGAACCCACATGGTGGAGGGGAGAACAGATTCCCACAAATTGTCCTTTGATCCCTAGAGACACACACCACGGCATATGCCTCTCTCCACAAGTAAATAAACAAACACCCACAAAATAAATAAATTTTTAAAAACTGAATTATTTTAAATATATAGATATGGAGATTGAAAGTTGTTAAAGTTTTATTTTATTTTATTTTTGAGACACAGTCTCATTGTGCAGCCCTGGCTATCCTGGAACTCATTATTTAGACCTCAGGCTCACAGAGATCTCCCTGCCTCTTTTGTTCAAGTTCTAGAATCATAAGCATGCTCTACCATATCCAGATTGTTGGATTTTGATTTTAAACATCCCTTCAAAGGCTCACAAGATAAAGACTTATTTTTTGATGGCTAATAGGATACTATGGAAACATTCAGAGGTAGGGTCTAGTGTAAGACTTCTGATCACTGGAGGTGTGCCAATGAAGGTGGACAGTGGAAAACACACCCTTTCTTTTTCTGTCTCTCTTGTCCTAGCAGTGAGGTGAAGGGCTTTGCCCAACCATGTATTCCCTGACATGATACATTACCTCATCACAGGCCCAATAGTAACGGGTCCAACCAGTTATAAATTGACACCTCCAAAACTGGACATCAAACCATCTCTCTTTTTAAGCTGGTAATCTTAAGCATTTGTTAATAGTGACAGAAAGATGGCTGACCCAAAAGGAAATTAGTAACAGGCTAAGTAAATGCCAGTGCAGCTAATGTTGCTAGATAGAAATCTAAAACAAAATTCATGATGATAAAGCAATTTGCTCCACAGAGCAACAGAACAGTCTTGAATTTGTATTCTTAATAAGATAATTCAAAATTCATGAAGCAAATTCAATAGCAAAAAAAAGGTGAGAAATGAATCCACAAACAGAGTTAGCAGATTTAAATATATGATTGTCACCTATTCAATCAAGCACGAGCCAAAAGATCAGTAAGGAGATAGATGATTTGAGTAACGTAATTGACAAATGGATCCTATTAAATGTATAGAACATATACATTCCAAACAACAGAACACTTCATTTCAAGAGCACATCAAATAAAAATATTTTCCCAAAAGAAATCATATTTTGGGGATAAAATAAGTTGAAGTTTTTCATGTGCATAAGGAACACAATTTCTGATAATAATGGAATTCAAACAAGAAGAATAACCATTAGAAAATTCTCATTTTCATTTGAAAGAATACATTTGTGTGTGTATGTGTGTACTGTGTGTGTGTATCTATGTGTACTGTGTGTATACTTGTATGTGTGTATGTGCACACATGTATATTTGCATATATTTGCAGGTATGCATGTGTCATCCTAGTAGTCACGTGTGTGGAGGCCGGAGGCTGACATCAGGTGTCTTTCTCAGTCACTCTCTCTGTTTTTTTTGAAATAGGATCTCTTACTAAACCCAGAACTCACCAATTATCTAGACTGGCTAGACAGCAAGCTTTGGCTATTCTCCGGTCTCCATACTCCACTCAGCACCAGGGTTGCAGATATGCGCTACCAAACCCATTTTTGTGTGGGGGTACTGGTGATCTGAACTCAGGTTTTCATGCTTAGGTGGCAGGGGCTTTACTTACCATGCCATCTTCCCAGCCCTGAAATAATACGTTTCTAAGCAGTTTAAGTCAAATGAGAAACCATAGTGGAAATTAGAAAACATTTAAACTCACCAGGCGCTGATGGTGCACGCCTTTAATCCCAGTACTCAAGAGGCAGAGGTAGATGGATCTCTGTGAGTTCGACGCCAGCCTGATCTACAGAGCAAGTTCCAGGACAGGCTCCAAAGCTACACAGAGAAACCCTGTCTCAAAAAACAAACAAACAAAAAATAAAGATAGGTAGATAGATAGATAGATAGATAGATAGATAGATAGATAGATAGATAGATAGATAAATAGATAGAAGATATTAAAACTCAATAGTTATAATAGAAAAAATTGTGGGAGGAAAAAAATGTCAAAAATTTTGCAAGAAAGACTGATTGCTTGGGAGAAACTGTAGCACTAAGTGTGTATGTATACGTGTGTGTGTGTGTGTGTGTGTGTGTGTGTGTGTGTAAACTGAGCTTCCCTCTTAAATTAGCAGGAAAAACAATTGCTTAAAACTAAAGAAAGTGAATAGAAGAATAGTGAACATAGAAGCAGAAATCAAAATTTAAAAAAACATTTGTATACTCACAAGAAACAAAAGCTGGTTTTAATGAACCTAAGTAAGAATAATTAGTAATCAGAAGAGGGGAGGGGGGAAGGAGAGTGAGAATGAGATGCTTATTAGAAATGAAAAGGCTACGCTGTCATGGTCCCAAAGGGCACTGGAAATATGATGAAGGATGCTAAGTATTTCAGTGTGTCAAATTATTGAATGTAAGCTTGACAAATTCAGATGAATTTTCATATTCTTTCAAAACACAATTTATCCAAAATGACACAAGAAGAAGCATAAAATATAAATGATCCTATCCGTTATGGTTATTTAATCAAAACTTCAAAATCACCTCACAAGATATTTAGATCCAGAAATAATCCTGTAGTAAATTCTTTAAGCATTTAACACAATGCATTACTAACATACATTTAAAAATTAAAAAAAAATTCCTCCAAAATCCAGTAATAGTAAAGAATAAAGCTAGTACATATATATGGTAATGCTCAATAAAATACATTAAAACTCTATGCAAAAGTCTAATGTGGTGGTGCACCCCTTTAATCTTAGCACTCAGGAGGCAGAGCCAGATGGATTTTTATGGGTTCAATGACAGCCTGGTCTACATAGAGAATATGAAGCGAGCAAGAGCAAAACAGTGAGAAGGTCTCAAAATGAATCAATAAATAAACACATTTAAAACATTCTAAGCAAAGTATTAGCAACTCAAATTCAGTGATTTTTTTAAAAAGTCTGAAAACACATGTATACAGTTACTTGCTTTATAACAAATAAATCCAATCCATTGGTGTCAAGATATGCTTTCAATAACTGATTCTTGACTGATTAGGTACTTGCATAGAAAAAATAAATAAATCCTAGCTCACATCTCAGGTCATGAACAAAGAATAATTTGGGATAATATGCAGCTTTAACACCGTTAGGAAACAACTAAGCATAGGGCAAATTTGGGGAACTAGGTAGACAGGGTTTTCTTAAACAGGATTCAAGTATCAACTACAAGTGTTTTGCTTTAACTCTAAAAGTTAAAGGGTATTAGTTGGGTGTGAGGGCTCACACCTGTAAGACCAGCACTTGGGAGTGTAAGGAAGCAACATTACTGTGAATTTGAGGCCAGTCTTGGTTACAAAGTGAGACCTTGTCTCAAAATGTGTTATTATTTTTAATGATATAATTAAAATTAAGAAAAGTGACAGAGTTATTTTTGTTAGAAGCCCTCATTGTCAAACTGAAAAGGCAAGCTAAGGCAGGGAGAATATTTGAATTTATTAATACAAAGAAGAATGCAGATGTATATCCATAATATGATAAAAACCTACGTCTTACCTGAACAAATGGACAAAACACCTGAAGACTTTATGAAAGATGAAACCTAAATGGCCAGGAAATAAAATAAAGAAATGTTTCATGCAACTCTACAGTGAGAAATGCCAAATTTACCTTATGATGAGATATTTTGGCATAACTTTCTGTATTTGATAACTCTTGCAGACAAAATTTTGATGAGGATACATAGGGTTGGAAGGTATAATAATTTTAAAGGTATACATAAAACATCACCCAACATTAGACAGTATACATTCTTTCCAACCTCAAAGAAAACTGAGTTTCAATCCTAGTTTTAATAACTCAAAGGAGTCAGTATCTTATTCTTCGACTACAGTGTAAGGCTACATTTACCATTCGGTGATTTATAAAAGCTTCTTTTTTTTTTTAAGCTGACATATTTTTGCATTTTATTTCTGTGCTTAATAAATGCCATTATTAATCTTTTGTTCCACAAATATCAAGGCAAATTTAAACACTGTCTTGCTACTGTCACCCTCAGGGATCTTAGAGGGGTCGAGTCAGAGGAGCCAAAGAGGTATCCACAGGATCATTGTCATTACAACAAGCTAATAGTGAAGAAGCTTCTTATGACCAACTGGAAACCAAAAGGCACATTTCTGGACTAAGGAGATGTCAGTTGATAAATTTCTTGTCATAAAAGTGTAAAGACTTGAGTTCGAAACCCATCACAGAGAGATAAAAAGCTCTGCATAGTGGCATGTGTAATCCCAGAACCTGGGTGCTGTGGATGATTGATGGATAAATAAAACACTGATTGGCCAGTAGCCAGACAGGAAGTATAGGCAGAACAAAGAGAGAGGAGAGGTCTGGGAAGTGGAAGGCTGAGGCAGGGAGATGCTGCCAGCTGCTGCCAGCCACCACCATGAGACGATGTTAAGATACCGGTAAGCCACAAGCCATGTGGCAACTTATACATTAATAGAAATAGGTTAATTTAAGATATAAGAACAGCTAGCTAGAAGCCTGAGCCATTAGGCCAAACAGTTTAAATAATATAAGCGTCTGTGTGTTTATTTTATAAGTGGGCTGCGGGACTGTGGGGGCTTGGTGGGACCTGGAGAGAAGCTCTCCAGCTACACCTGGGAAACAAAGACAAGTATCTGCAGCTCACTGCCTGGCCAGCATAGCTCAACTGCTGAGTTTAAAGTCCCAGGGAGTGGCTTTGTCTCAAAAAACAAGATGGACAGATCTTTAAAAATGATGATGCCTGAATATTGACCTCTGGCTTTTGTATGTACACATGTGCACCCTGTCACACACAAACATGCGCATGCTTCAGGGACACACGTGAGACACATTTCTAAAGAAAATATGACTAAAACAAGATCACGACACTAATTATAAGTTCTTAAAGCTGTATAATAAGAATGTTCATATCAAAGTCGGATCAAGCTAAAACATGGCAACAGAGCCTTAAAACTTTAAAAGCTTAGGAAGAAAATTCAATTGATGTGCTAAGTACCTAAATTTCAGGCTTTAAAATACACGAAAAAAACTAATGAGGTAAAAGTGTGTATGTGTGTGTGTGTGTGTGTGTGTGTGTGTGTGTGTGTGTGTGTGTGTAAGAGCCAATAAAGTACATCAAATTCTGGCAAAACAATCAAAACAAAGTGGGAATAAAAAAAGTATACACACATTACTAAGGAAAATGTCGTATCAATAGAAAATAGATTTAAAGCAATAATGATTTTATTCTATTAATATTGAATACATATACACAGTCTATCAAAATTGACTTCATAAGAAAACCTAAATAGTACTATAACTGTATTTTAAATAATGAAATCATTTTATTCTAATTAACTTACAAACAAAAACACACAGCTAGTTTTAAAAAGGCATTCTCAGCTGGGCAGTGATGACGCATGCCCTTAATCCCAGGACTCGGGAGGCAGAAGCAAACAGATCTCTGTGAGTTTGAGGCCAGGCCAGCCTGGTCTACAAAGTGAGTTCCAAGACAGTCAGGACTGTTGCACAGAGAAATACTGTCTCCAAAAACAAAAACAAAAAACAAACAAAAAAGGCATTCCCTATAATTATTAAAGTAATTAAACCAACAAGCCTAAAATCCCCTGAACTCCAAACCTAGAAGGCTTTATTAATTAATGATTAAATAATTGCAATATTGTGCAGATTTTTCATGATAGGAAAAGAAAGAACACTACACATACTATTTTGAGATGATACCAACAGCAGATCAGGACAGTACAGAAACAGATAACTGTAGACCAATGTTTAACTTACATAAATATAAATAATGCTTGTCTTTGTATGTTATGTATAAATGCCATAATATATACACTAGAGGAGGTTTATTCTAGAGGTATCAGATAGCTTACTATTAGAAGTTAAATACTATGTCTTGCCACATAAACATATTTAAAGAAAAATAATTACATGATACCTTCTCTTTTTAAAAAGGTTTATTTTTATTTTGTATTACGTGTAAGCGTGTGGGTATACTCATGTGAGTGCAGGATCCCATAGAGTTGAAAGGTGTTGGCTCCTTCTGGAGCTGGAGTTACAGGGAACAGTGAGCTACTCCAATCCTCCACAAGAGAAGTACACACACTTAACCACTGAGCCAACTCCCAGCCCCATGAACTACATGATGCTTTTAATAGCCACAGAAACAATTGATGAAACATTCACTTATGATACACATACTCACCAAATGAAGAATTTGCTGGATAGCTATGTGAAAGCTAATTTTAAAGTTTACATAGTAAAACCTTCCTACGTGGTGTACTGTACTGATGGTCCTCGCCAAAGTAGGAAGGCAAGAAAAAGAAATTAAAGATTATAGATATGCAGATAAGGGGAGAAACAAAATTGTCATGATTTTTGGATGATATTATTGTCCGTGTGGTAAATTTGAAAGCAGTTACAGAAAAATAAAATGACTAATGAATCCCATAAAATTTGATTGACAAGTAATTAATATATAAAAACAAGTATATTAATGAGAGTGGGGAACTTAAAATAAATCTATACACATATGGAAAACTTGATTCATGTATACCATTGAAATAAACAACCAAGTAATCAATTTTCATGTGGATTAAGCCTGACTGCCAAATGCAAAACCATTGGCAGCCTTAGAAACCACTGGAAGACAACAGAGTAAGTTAATTTATAATTTCAAGGACACAACTGTGTCCTGTGTGTGCCTTTGTGTATGTGGTATGCATGTGTGTGTATATGTTTGCATGTGTATAGATGCACTAGTGTATAGGTTTACATGTACGTATGTGTAGCTCCTTGTGGAGGCCAGAGGTTGATGTCAGGTGATAATAGGTGCTTGTGAGCTGTCTGTGAATGCTGGGAATTGAACTCCAATCTTCAACAAGAGGAGTACACACCCTTAATGGCTGAACCATCTCTCAGCCCCATGAATTACACGATACTTTCAATAGCTACAGAGACAACTGATAACATTGTTTCCACTTTATTTACTGAAGCAGGGTCTCTCCCTGAACCTGAAATTGAGAATTTGATATTCTAGTAGTTAATCTTGCCTTGGAGGGGTCCCCTGTTCTCTCTACACTGGGATAACAGGTGGGCTACCACACTAGCCCAACTTTTACGTGGGAATTTGGTACCCAGCCCTGATCCTCATACTTGCACAGCTTTATCCACTGAACCACTGAACCACCTCTCCAGCCCCTTGAAGATACAATTCTTAAACAAGACACACTATAAAAGAAAGTACTAGAGACTTTAAATTTCTCACTGAGAGATGTGGAGAGATAAAGAGAAAGAAAATGTCAGAAGCAATCTGGACGCAGGTATTTGCAGCACATACTATAAATTAAATATTGACTGAGACATGGATTGCATAAAGAAAAGACTCCAATGTCAATTAGATACAGAAAAACAACTCACTAGAAGAATACACACAAACCAGGTTATCAGAAATGCAGACAGAAAGCTGAACTCTTGGACAGCATATATAAAAGCAGGCTGCCTTGTTAGTTATGTGGATGCTAAGTAAAATCCTAGAGTATGACTTCTTGCTACTTGCCAGACTGACTAAAAATGGAATTTGTTATGACAGGTCTGTGGAGCATCAAGATCTTTGATCCTTTGTTGGAGGAAGTGCCAGCTAGTTTGGCACTCGAGGAAGAGCTTGGAAATGACCTAATAAAGTTGGATATATACAAATCTTATGACCTACTCATTCCACTCTAGGATGCAAGTTCTAAACATGTGCACACATAGTCATGGATGCTAGAAGGCATTATCCGGTTTCCGTAGTAGACTCTCAAGACTGCCTAAGTCTTGAGAATGTTCACCTGAAGGCATCCGTGCCCTCGTAAGATCTATCCCCTTAGGGATGTGCGTGTATGGGGTGGTGGGCAATCACTTTTAAGGAACAGAAAAATGATAAAAATAATGAGCTGTCACTTTTGAGATTAGGAAAGAAAAAAATACGGCTCTTGCCTTTCTGTTGGCAAGCCCTTAAACTCTGGGGTGGGGATGAGGGGAGCAAGATGCTTATGTGGTAGCAAACCTCTATAAAGAGGCCCATACTGCAAAGGAAGATATGCCTAGCCGAAGTCAGGAAGGTCCCAAGTCTCCAACAATCCCGAGTCAGCTCCTATGAGTCTTGAGGTGACTTCAGCCTGAGCCAATAGCCCTTTACTACAGCATGTGAGAACCTCCAGAGACTCCAGTTAAGCCACTAGTTAATTCTAGGTCCACAGAAACTGGGAGATGGCAAGGAAATATTAGAAGTGGTTTTGTTGTTGTTTATTATTGACTTTATACTGCTTGCTATTGGGATAGTTTGTCAAATAAACATCGAATGCATCTCCCAAGCTAGAAACCCAGATGTCCAGCAGTAGAATCCAGGATATTAAATGGTAAGAAATAAAAAAGAAAGAAGCATAAACAAGGGTGAATCTCAGAAATGTAAGAATGTAGAGGATAATATTCATGATATGAAAGTACGACAGAAACATAAAAAGCAATGCATGTATGTTTTACACACAAACATTAAACTAAGCAAAACACCAAGGAAGACGGTCAAAAGGAAAATCACGAAGGATGCCATGTCTCAGGGAGGGAGGGGCAGGGACGAGCCCCTCCAATGTGGTATCCAAGGTCCCACCGTGCCTTATTTTTACCCACAAGATGGTCAGGCTCTTTGGGATGTTATATATTCTTTTTATTCTTAAATTTATAAGCAAAGCAAAACAGAAAGTGAAGAGCTGAAATGCAATCAGTTCACAAATCCTTTGGAGAATGGACAGACAGTTGGCTAGTCCTCCCATAGACAGGGACATTCTATTCTTCACATCCATTTAAGGGGTTCTTCCTCCACATTTCCACGATTGTCTAATTGGCAAGATCCTTTTTTTCTCCCATTGTGTCCTTTGGGGCTCCCTGCTCCGCAGGTTGGGCCAACCCTGGAGGCCAGCTGGGGGACTGTTTATCCTCCAACTGGATAATCCACCGCTTGCTGCTGCAGGCCAAAGGCATTCTAGACCAGCTTTCTCTGGAATGCCCACACCTATTCTCAGCAGCACCCTGCCCACATCCTCCCACCCACCTCTCAGCGCAAATTCACTCCAGGCTCCCTCCCGAGCGCTTAAAGCACAGGGAGAGGACTTTTACCTGGGAGCAGGGGCAGGAGGCTAAGCAGAGACCATGGCCCTGAAAGAATTCTGCTTGGAGCCCCTCTCCGGTGGGTGTGATAACATCACCTTTAAGGTTCCTTTAATCAAATCCGGATGGCTCCCTGCTGCACACAAACCACGCAAGAAGGAAATGAGGCGGGGGAGGGGAGTGGGGTGGAGTGGGGGGATGTCCTGGCTGGCGAAGGGATAACAATAAGGGGATACGCTGAAGGAGACAGGCTGCAGCGGAAAGCTCAGAAACTGACAGAGAGGAAAATCACCACGGTGGAATACCTCAGCCACGTCAGCATGCTCAGGGTGCCCACACAAGTCCCCCACGCAGCCCCTGGACACTCGCCACCCTCCCCCTTTCCCGCAGAGCACCCCACCCTTCTGGAAGTGGCCTTTGTCACCGCAGGCCTCTCCTGGTGCAAATCCAGTCTCTGAACCCTACTCACTCTTTGCCTCGCTGTTCCCTGAAGTGCAGGTTCCGGGCACAACGAAACCGCTGCGAAGGGGCACCAGTGGTCCCCAGAGGGAAGAAGCTTCGGGCCTAGAAGGGAATGGGCGGTGGACTAGAGGCTGGGGGACGTGGAAAGTCACTAGCAGAGAAGGGGAGCGAGCGATGGGCCAGCCCCGAGAACCGATTGGCCATACGAACGTGTGGGCGGTGCTCGGCTCTCTGCTCCCAGATCTCAGAGGCTCTGCTTTGTGTCAATTTCTGCTCCAAGATGCACCACTCTATCTGGGATGGAGATGCAATTCCACCTCCTTGGACGTGCAGCCGGGCAATTTGTTAAATAAATAAACAATCTTTAATACTATGAACAAATAGAGCATTGGGAAAACAACAGATCTTTATAGAAAATAATACACGCTATATTAAGAGTTAGATCTATGAGTCCTATATTAATTTTAGTTAAAAAGTCAAGTTTTGGTAAAACAGTATGATTACAGTCTGTTATATCTTATGTAAGAGAAGGCTAAGAGTGAAGACGTCAGCTCCTGATTCATGCATCCACAACTACAGAATTGAATCTGCTCTGTGTGACGAGTTAGGGAAACCAGTGAAAAGCCTGGATTTTTAAAAATAAGTTTTGCTGCATTCTTTTTTCCCCAATTACATTTATTTATTTGTTTGTTTGTTTACATGTGGTGTGTGTGTGTGTGTGTGTGTGTGTGTGTGTGTGTGTGTGTGTGTGTGTGTACACACACGAGCTTCTGCTTGTGAGGGGTGAGGGGGTGGGGGGGTGGCGGGACATGCAGCGTTGGAGTGCACCATGCCACAGCCTGTGTGTGGAGGTCAAAGGACAGCTTGTGAGAATCAGTTCTTTCCTTGCACAGTGGAGTTCCTGGAGAATAAACTCAGGTTGTCAAGCTTGGCAGAAAGTGCCTTTACTCACTGAGCTGCTTCACTTTCCCAAACCTCTGGATTTTGAATAGGTTGCATCTTTTGTTTCATAAGCTAGGGAGTGTATGAGTTAACAGTGGCTGCTACAACAAACTGCCACACAAGGAGGTGAATTAAACAACACACTTTTGGCATCTTACAGTTCTGTACATCAGAAGCCTGGCACAGGTCCTACTGGACAGAGCTGCCATGCTTTCTGGAAGATCAAGGGGAGAATTCATTTCCTCCCTACTCCAGCTTCCAAGGAATGCCTTAAAGTTTTCTGAGTGTCCCTGCTCAGGGCCCTTTCCTGTGTGCAGAGACAGTGGGCTGATCACTCCACTCTGCTTGTGTTGGTGCTTCTCAGTTTCCTGCAGCCTTTGGTTCCTTAGGGGACCAGTGGCTCTATCCAAATGATCTCTCAGTTCAAGGTCAGATATCTAGCCGGCATAATTCCATCTGCACCATCACTTCTTAGTCCTGTAACATTGCATGGTCACAGGCTCTAGAATGACAGACATATGGTTTCTGTGGGGCCATGTGTCTATCACAAAGGCTATGTTAGTATCTTCCTTTTTATCCTGCTCTGTGATACTTGTCTCTATCAGGGTCAACCTAGGACTTTACCAGTACACATGACAAAGAACATGCAAATGTCTGTTATAACCTTAAAGGGGGACAGGTATCTCCAGACCACTGCCATGGGTGACTGCATCATACCGTCACATTGACCTCACTCTACTATGAGTAGGACATCCCCCTTGCATTGTGGGTCTCTTCATCACTGGCCGTCAGCTTGCTGGTACCTAACTCAGCAACTAATCCTTCCTCAGGGTCTTTGTCACAGCTCCACCCTCTCCCAGCCCCTGGGGGAGTTTCCTCTGATGGTTACTCTCATGTTCTTTGCCAGCTAGTGCTGGGCCCTGGAGAAAAAGAGGGGAGAGGAAAGCCAGCACCAGGCTCCCAGTGTAGTTCTGGCAGCCTCCCGGAATTTGAGACTTTTTTCACATTGTCACAGAGTGTCACAGTTGTAAGCTGAGTGATTGCAGCCTGATCCTGTTCTACCCTGGGTCTAGGTGGCCTCCCTCCCTTCACCTCCTTTTGAAGGTTCACCTCTCTCATGCTGTTCACTCCTCTTTTCTCCCCCGGATTGTTCAGCTTCCTCCCTGAGGTAGTTCAGTTCTATAGGCGGACAGTGCAGTGGGTAGATCGTATCATCAACAGAACACTTGCCTTGCTCTCTTAGCACCACTTATTACCACTTAAAATTCTACTGCTTTTCAGAATTGGAACGCACTGGGACAATGTGTGAGAAAAGTCTTTGTGAATTCCCAGCAGCCCTCAGAACTACAGTGGGAGCCTGATGCTGCTCCCCTTCTTTCCTCCAGGGCCCAGCATTACTTTAGCAAAGAGCATGTGAGTGACAGTCAGAAGAAGAGTGGAAGCAGGGGAGCTGGGAGAGGATGGGGCTGTGACAAGGACCTCAGTGGTGGAGGACAGTATCGCCTGTGTTTTCTCCACACTGGGTGAGAAGGATCTCCTTGCACTGGCTCTGTGTTTGTGCATCCTCCAACATGCAGAGAATGGGGTGGGGGAAAGAAGTGGGGGAGCTGCCTAGTGATCTGCAGACTGGGGAGAAGAAGACATAGTTCAGTCTGTTTGCCACACAAGCATGGACGGGCTGAGTTTGAGCCCCAGAACCAAGTAAAAAGCTGGCTGTAGTGGCATAGGCTTGTAATCCCAGTACTATGGAGGCTGAGACAGGTGAATCCCTGAGGTTTAATAGACATCCAGCCTGCCTACTTGGTGAGATTTGAGCCAATGAGAAACACTGTCTCAAAACAAAATGAAACAAAACAAAAACAAGCAACAGCAAAAACTCAAAGGCAGATGGCTCCTGAAAAAGAACACCCAAGGTTGGCCTTTGGCCTTCACATATGGCCACACATCAACACGCACGGGTGCACACACACACACACACACACACACACACACACACACACACACACACAAACACACACACACACACACACACACTAGCACCTAAGTTTGATTGTCTTCTCCGTGTCTATCTGTGCAAACCCTTTCTGCTGCCTGCATTTTGGAGTTCGTTTGTCCACAGAGGAAACCGGATGGTATGCCTCTGCTCTGAAATGCCATGGCTAATGCCATGCCTAAGTACATAGTGAGAACAACACATATTGAAAATGGTCTCTTATCTTCTGTTCCTGTGAGGAGAGAGAGGCCTGCAGACATGCATCCTATTGGCTGTTAACTTTGAGGGGAGGAGGAGTATGGCAAGAGAGCAGTGCAGCTGTCTTGGCAAGCAAGCATCAGCTCAGCTGCAAGGAGCTCTGGTCTCCTGGAAACAACAGATAATCCTCAAACTCCACCTACTTCCACAGCTCCACTCACACACTCAATTCTGCTCCACAGAAACACCAGAATCCTGCAGCTCTAACCGTGGCGGCTATATAAACTAGTTCCTGACCTTTGGAGACATTTGGATTTGTAATCACGTCTCTAATGGTTCACTGCATGATGTCCCCTTTGGTGGATAAAGGGTAATCCCAGCAATGTGGCAACTTGAGCTGAGAAAGGGAGACAGAACTGCAAAACACTTGGAAAGTCTCCAAAAGAAAAAGCTAAGGATGAGGCATCTTGTGACTCCCTGGACTTTGAGCACGAGAAGTAGTAGGTGGCAGGGACTCATACCACAATCCTCAATTCTGAGAGTAGGAAGCATAGCTATTCATTTGCATCCCACCTCACACTGGGGATCCAGGGACTATCATGAGACAATACGTCCTAGGGCAAGGGAGCAGGTGGTAGTCAGATGTGTCCCAGGGCACTAGCATTTTGTATTTAGAGCTATTTGTGGAGATGATGCTTAGTGCCATTTGATGAGGAAGTCATTGTACTCTACGCTCTTTGTAGCTTAATTCATTCAGATAATGCTATTGGGCTGGAGCGTGTACTACCTGGGTATTTGAATGAACATTGTTCTGTATGTTTCTATGAGAGTGACGAAAACAAATTGTCCTTCTTAATGACAGCCCAAATGGAAGAAAAAGGCTGACCTTCCTGCAACTAAAATATTATTCCTTTACAATTGCCTTCTAACTGGGACACTGGCTTTTTTGTGTGTGTCTTTCTTCCTTCCTTTCTTTCTTTTTTGAGATAGGGTATTCAATGCAGACTTGGTGTCTTAGTTAGAGTTTCTATTGCTATGAAGAGACACCATGACCATGGTAACTTTTATACAGGACAACATTTAATTGGGGCTGGCTTACAGTTTCAGGAATTTAGTTCATTGTCATCAAGGTGGGAAACATGGCAACATGCAGGCAGACATGTTGCTGGGGAAGGAGCTGAGAGTTTGACATCTGGATCCTCAGATATCAAGCAGAGCACTGGCTTGACCTTCAGAAACCTCAGAGCCTATCCCTAATGACAAACTTCCTCTAACAAAACTATACCTACTTCAATAAGACCACATCTCCTAATAGTGCTATTCTCTGTGGACCAAGTATTCAAACACTTAAGTCTATGGGGACTTTCCTATTCAAACCACTACATTCTACTTCTTGGCCTCCACAGGCTTGTAGTCAAAACATAATGCAGAAATGCATTTAGTCCATCTTCAGTAGTCCAAATAGTATATAACAGTCTCCAACTTGTTTAAAAGACCAAAGTTCAACATCTCTTCTGTAATCCCTGGCAAAATCAAATGAAAAAGCAGATCATGTACTTCCAACATATAACAACACAGGCAATTACTGTTCCAAAGGGAGGAAATGAGCATAGTGAGGAAATATTGAACTAAAGCAAGAACAAAACCCAGCTGGCAAACTCTAAATTCTGCAACTCCATGTCTAACATCAAAGCACTCTTCATTTCTCCAACTCCTTTTAGCTTTGTTGACTACAATACACTTCTTTATCTTAGGCTGGTTCCACTCCCTGTTAGTAGCTCTCCTCGGCAGGTATCCCACAGCTCTGGCATCTCCAACATCTTGGGGTCTCCAACACAATCCAGGCTTCACCTTCACAGCTTCACTCAGTGGCCTCTCTAGGCGTCCATGCAGGGACATCACTGTCACATGCCTGGCCTCAGCAGCTTTCTTTAGTCATGGAGGGAGATTCAATAATCCCTCTCTTGCATCCTTGATTCTGAAGCCAGAATCATGTGGCCAAAGCTGCCAAGTTCTGCTGCTTGCTGGGCCTAGAACATGCCCCCCTCGTTCAATTATATCTTCATT